CAAGAAGTGCTTCTTTTATAAAGTATTATTCACATCCTTTCTTCCTGTTTTACTCAAAATGACCTCAGCTAGCCTAAAAAGTCAACCAAATGAGTGCTGTTTTTATAGCACGATCAGATTGATAAAACATATGGATATATGTATGTAAGCTGCTTATATTTGGGTCCATGTTGATGTTTACGTCCTACGGGACGTACTGAGCAATTGGCAAAAACAAGTTGCGAGCTCATTTTTTCTTTTAGATCATTCTACTCTATCTTCTGAAACACATATCTACATACCTACAGGCATTTGAATGCTATTATGATTTTTGATGGCGCTATGTAATGAAGCAGCTCATGGTACAAAACAAAATACATTTTGTTGCGATGTACTAAAGAATGCAAAGTAGGAGGCCGACATATTTTTCGTGCATACAGTAGCTAAAGATGACTGATAGAAACTCAAAGACCTTTGCTAAATTGGTATCAATACGGTTACGGGAAAAAGCAAAAGGACGTATATTATATGGTCACCTTTTTATTCATTCAACTAAAAAGAAATAGGAGGAATAGAGAATGAGAGTCAAAAAAATTCTGAAAGGCTAGTCTTTCTTGCACACGTAAAGAATGTTCGTCTCAAAGTAGGGTGTTGGCATTACGCTGACATCATTGAATCCTGCTTCTTTAAGCATTTTCACTGCTCGTTCCTTCCCCCACATAGCGCCAAGACATAGCGCATCTGAAGTGATAAATTGAGATTGACATGTGCCAAAAAGCTTGATAAAGGGTCTTCTCAAATACCCTCTGAGTTGCTGCCAGCAGGCAAACAATGGAACACTGAATCAGCGTATTGTAGGGCAGCCGCATCGCCCATCTCTTCTTTATCCTTGTAGATATTTGACGTTCCATCCACCTAAAGTGAATTGAAATCGGCATTCAATGCCTTTTTTTCGGTAGCACTCAAAGTGAATTGTACCTCCACCATTCCGAATACTCCTCCTGGCTTCAGCACTCGATATATCTCTTTGAGGCACTAAACAATGAAAATTGGAGACCTTGTCCTGCCTTTATCCTTCTCAATGCAGTCATTTTGCATACTGATTCTTCACGTTTCCCTCTGCTTTTGATATGTGTTACTTCCTTCCATTGCTGTGTTTTTCTTTCATGCTCGTAGCGGTCAAAATCAGTAGCGCTTTTTCTATCGTCCTTTTGATAGTTTGGAACACAAGGTTGCATACTTAGATTTACTTTCCCTTGAAGATGAGTTTTGGTGGCCGACTTGACGAT